TGAGTTCAGTGTTTGCCATAACACATCCCTGTCCACTCTGTCATAAGCCTTCTCCAAGTCCATGAACGCACAAAAAACTTTTTGGTTTTTGGCCAAAAACTTCTCGGCGATCATGCGCATGGAAAAGACCTGATCCGTACATCCCATTCCCTTTCTAAATCCCGCTTGCACATCCCAAATTTTTCCGTCAGTTTCTTTCATAACTCTTTCAATTAGTACCTTAGCATACAGTTTTCCCACAATGCTAAGAAGGCTGATACCACGGTAGTTTTTACAGTCCTGCTGTGATCCTTTTCCCTTATATATTGGGACTATCACGGCTTTGCACCAGTCTCCCGGTACCCGCTTAAGTTCCCAACATAAATTAAACAAGGTGTACAGCAGGTCTGCCACCACTCCTTCTCCAGCCCTTAGCATTTCGAGAGATACTCTATCATAACCAGCTGCCTTACCTACTTTCATACTTTTCATTGCTTTCATTATTTCATCTATACTTATATCTCTATCTATTTCCTCTTCTTTCGGAATTTCTATTTCATTTAATTCAAACGTCTCATCACTCATAAACACGCTTTCAAAGTATTCCTTCCATCTTCTTAAACTCAAAACTTCGTCATTCAGAATACAGCCATTCTGGTCTCGTATAGCATTCATTCTAGGCTGTTGTGAGTGTCCCCTGGTAGTTCTTACGAGTTTCCAGAACATTTTAATGTTTTCCTGGAAGTTATCCGATATTCTTCTATCATTCTTATCCGTTCTTTCTTGCTTTTTCCTTTCAACTACTTCTTTTACTCTCTTATTTAGGTGTCTAAAAACCGCCTTTTTCCTTTCAATATCATCATTCATACTGCTAGAATTACTAGCCTTGGTTGCTAGTAAATCTAGCCATGCTTTCTTCTTTGCTTCAACTTCCATCCGTACCTCATCATCCCACCATAACGTGTTATTTTTCCTTTCATTCGTTCTCTTGCTTACACCACATACTTCGGTAGCTGCATCCACTAAACCTTTCTTGACATTATACCACACAGTCTCCAAGTCTAAATCATTCATACACAATTCAGCCATACCACTTATATTTTCTCTCAATCTACATTTGAACTTCTCTTTCACACCTTCATCTTGTAGCCTCTCTGTTTTTATACGCTGTAACGCTGTGGTAGACACAGATGTCCGATGCCTCCAACGTCTGAAAAGACCATTAATTCGGCATAAGACCAAGTAATGATCCGTCCCTACGTTAGAGCCCCGGTAAACCCTTGTATCTACCACCGCGCTCCTCATTCTTTCATCAACAATTATGAAATCTATCATACTTCTATCATCACCTCTTTCCCATGTATACGTGTGAATCTTCTTATGACGAAAGAAAGTGTTCGTCACAACAAGATTCTTTTCCACGCATACGGCGAGAAGGCTTTCACCATTCTCATTTATACTTTCATCACCAAACGTTCCCAATATCCTTTCATAACCAAGCCTCCTCACCCCAACCCTTCCATTAAAATCGCCTAATATCACAATATTTTCATTAACCTTGCATTTCATTAGCACCATCCTTACCAACTCCCAAAACTGCTCTCGGATATAAGTGGGCTTAGACATGTCTGGGGCGTAGACCCCTAAAACAAACAACTTCTTTAAGCCCACTTTCATTCGTATCCATAGCAGTCTCGGGCTTACACATTCATACTCTTTTACACAATGACCCATTCTTTCTGAAAGGATGATACCGACTCCCTGGCATGCCCGCTCGGTCTCGTCTACACCAGACCAGTACGCGGTATACATGCCATGTGTAGTGGCATCCTTTCCCTTCCGTTTCGTCTCATTCACACATAACACGTCTATTCCTCTATCATACATCATATCGCATACTTCATCCATCTTATCATTCATTCCTCCACATACGTTCAATGTAGCCAGACGGGCTTCCGCAATCCACTTTTCGCCCCTCCGGGGGACAGAACGTGACGGGTGGCGAACCTCGTCGCCGGTTTTTCTCCCGGAGATTCTTCGCACCCCTGCCCCATTAAAGGGGCGCCGGGAACTCGGGGCCATTTCTTTAATATTTTGCCTCATGGTGCGAAAGTAAGTTGTGGTATTTTTTACGCCGCTACCACACGGCGAGGAGCCGAGTCAGTTCTTTCGGCTTTGTCGCTCGTTTAGCACCACCCGGGGGACACGTGTAGGGTGGGCCTAGGATTAGGTGGTCGAAGCCTACGGACGCGAGCGACTCATCCTATATATATGTATGTATATTATATATATATATATATATATATATATATATATATATATTAAAAAAAGTTAGGTACTATAAATGGTAGGTACTCAAATTAATCAATAGAATTAGGCGTTACATTGCGGAAATCCATTATATTAAAGTTGGGAAAATTTACTTTGCCTATATCTGCTCAATAATTCAATCAAAAAAAAAAAATATTGAGCGGATATAGGCAAAGTAAATTTTTCCAACTTTAATTGGTACTCAATTTAGTTAACAAAGTTAACAGTTGTATATTACTCGTATTAGCTAGGAATAGCAATTTTTCTGTATTAAGACTTTATTGATTGTGTTGCCTTTCATCGTACGGTTGTGAATTTTTTTTATTATTAAACTAGGCTCACTCTCTTTCTCCATCCGGTCCGAGGGCAAAGATGAGGTCTACGATGGAGCGAGTTTACCCAGGAGAATCCTGTTAACATTGAAGAGGTTAAGGTTATATTATACACTCGGAAAAATAGGGGCCGGCAGGGCATTCCACTCCTTGGCTGTGCGTATTATAAAAGATGACTTATAGAGCTTTATTCGGAATATCAACCAAGTGTGGATGGTACCTGCAGTACGTCTGGTATTCCTATAAGAGAATGGAGATGGCGGTGTGAGCTTATGAAGTTCATAGGCACACTCTCTGAAGTACAATCTGTAGATTATACACCTTTTACGCCTCTTAGCTCTGCTGTTGCACTGAGTCGAGTGCGTCAAGTTGATAATTTGCTGAGCCGTCCCAAAGTTGACTACAATACTCCATGCATGTTCGGACTTGAGCTTTGTATAAAGTTAAAGCATCCAGACGTGAAGTATCGCTTCACCTTGTTTAAAATACCCAGTTTTTTGGCCGCAGTTTGTGCTTTCGACTCAATGTTGGCGCCAAAGTTGAGGTTAGCAGTTAGCACTTAACTGTATGCCGAGAAGCTCGAAATTTAAAAAAATAAAAAGCTTCCGAAAATTAAACCGAGTCCGATCGAGATTTAATTTCAAGCGAAAACAGCCAAGACCAAGACCAAGATCCCGGTCGGACCTTAGAGATCCAGTAAAATTAAAGACACTTAGGCGCTTTTTTTTTAAAAACTGGAGTGATAAACGAACTTATAGTTAACCTGTTGGTATGTGGCTACTGTAGTCCGTGGACACCTTTTTGAAGTAAAAAATTCTTTAGCATCGTTTTGATTTGAAACAAATGAAACGAAAAAATATACTAAAAAGAGACAACTATATAAATCTATAGGAGAGAATGAGATAGTCTATACTAATATAACAAAGCGAAAGAGGTTTTTTGTATGTTTAAACACGCTAATCTCTAGAACCACCAGTCCGAATTCAAAAATTCACAAGGAATAGTATAGGCTATATAGCATTAGGCTAAACCTCTCAGCTAGCCTTAAATATTTATTTTTGTTAAGAAAGTCGGTCCCGCACTGCTTTATCCGCTTGCACTGGCGTAATGGCTAGTGATTAGATGAGAAATACTATTCTACAAAAATATAGATATTTCCTCTATCTAAAAAGACTCCGCAATACCATAGGCCTGTTTTTTATACATAAGCCACAATAAGGTATTTTGATACAAATAAAATTGAAAATTAAAAAGTGATTTATCAACGCTATTATTAGGCATAGCATATTAATCCTTACGAACGAACTTTACTTCATCATTAAGTCTATATTATGAAGATTAACTTTGCTTTTTATAGCATGTTATTCGGACGCATAGGTTAAGAGATAATTAAAAATTAAAGTAATTCAACAATCGGCTCGGCGCGCGAACGACGCCTAGCTACCCGATGAGAACCGAGAGCACCGCTCAGAGCGTGATATACGCGGGTGATTCGCGAGGAACAGTTATTTCAGTATAAAGTATTTCCTATTATTTAGGTCTCTTCTGTGTGCGGTGCTTTTAAGATGATTAATATAACATTTAACTGTTAATAAAAAATTACAAATTTATTATGAAATGAATAAAATTAAAATTATCATATCCAAACCATTCTTAACAATCCACGATTTCATATCTTTATTTTATTTCTTTTTAAATTAGTCGTGTTTAGGTCTATTTTACGGACCATCTTGACATTTAATCAATTTTTGTTCTAGAAAATGACTTCGCCAGAGTTAATTTTAAAAATATTAATTTCTTTTTGGTAAATTACTAGACGTCGCTATTACAAAGCAATTTTAGTGAAAAGAAAAATTTCTTTTGATTTAATACACTAAAATTGAGGTTTTACATGTCTAAAAATAAGGATTGCGAATCTTTTTTTCTTTTTTTTTTTATAGGATAGCGTGACAAACGAGCACACAGTCCGTTCACCTGATGGTAAGTGGTTGCTGTGACCCATAGACATCTACATTTATCCTCAATAAAGAATCAAAATGCAGATGTGTCGTCACCCGTGAGGACTAAGATGGAATGCCTCTATTCCAGTAAAATGGGTCTCCGGTTCTCTACACTCACCAAAGGAAACACAGCAGTATCAAGCTGCCATTTTACGCTGGTATTCTATGAGAGCGTGGTCCTTCCCCGGTCAAGCCGACCCATTCGTGCTACAACTATACTACTAATATAGCTGCAGCATGGCTCTACCACGTAAAAAAATCTTCTCTACAAATTTGGCCGATTATTGCAAAATAACCCAGTATATTATAGACCTTATTGTGCACTGAGTAAGCAAGTAAAAACTTGAATACTTTAATGTTTTTCTTGTATTATTTTCAGATATTCAGTTGGAGTTAATGCGGGTACAATTGTTGGAACCACCGGCATCGATCGAGGTATTCTAACGCACGAAACCAATATACACGATTTATCACTGCGATGCGACCACGTGAGATAAATAATTAATAAAATAACGCTATAAATAAAAAAAATGTGTGAGTGTCGTGGAACACTCGATTGGAACGAAGTTCTTTTCGTGGTGTATTATTATTGATAAACGTATTATATTATTGACTAGCTGTGCCCCGCGGTTTCACCCGCGTCATCACTTGTCCGAGGTGCGCGACATGACCTAGTTCAAGCATTTTATAACGGCTAGGGTTTAAGCGTCGTTCGCGCGCCCAGCCAAGTATTGAATTATTTTAATTTTACATTATCTCTTAAACTATGCGTCCAAATAACATGGTATAAAGGACAAAGATTATCTTCATAAAATTGTCTTGATGATGAAGTAGTTCGTTCGTAAGGATAAATAGGCCATGCCTTATAATAACGCTCATAAATCACTTTTAAATTTTCAATATTATTTTGTCACAAAATACCAAATTATGGCTTATGTATAAGAAATAGACATATGGTATCGCGGACTTTTTTAGACGGAGTAAAGGTCTATATTTTTCTAGAACATTGTATTTACGTATCCCTAACGATAACACCAGCGTACGCGGATAAATCATTTCGGGAGCGCTTTTTCTTCTGACTTGCTTAACAAATATCCATATTTAATGCTAGCTGAGTAATATAGCTTAATGCTAGGATAGCCTATACTATTCCACATGAATCTGGCTATAATATACAAAAAGAATTTTTCAAATCGGACTGGTAGTTCTAGAGATTAGCGCGTTTAAACAAACAAAAAAACTCTTCCGCTTTATTATATTATTATAAGTATAGATTAACAAATACAAATAATTGAATAAAACCTACTCTACAAATTTAATTAACTAAACAAATAAATGAATTACTAGCGTCTATTAAAATAAAGCGTCATTTAAAATAAAATAATATTTCTTTTATGGCAACATAAGAAAAGGTGCGAGGGAGATAGATGTTATTCCATCTCGCTTCGTTATAGCCGCCAAAGTCTACACTACGTCAGAATGGGTAGTGACAGAAAAATCTTACACCTTTTCTCACCTAGCCCCCATCCGCCAAATTCGTACCATCCGATAAGGAACTTCGTTCCGAAACTATGGTGAATATATAAATAAAATTAAAACTGCCATTGCCAATTATACCCCATGGAGCCCTATGTTCAGCAGTAGTCCTCCATCATCACAACCAAGCAGTTCCACTGCTGAACATAGGCCTCCCCCAAGGAATGCACCAAAGTGCGGTCCTGAGCCACCTGCATCTATCGACTTCCCGCATCTCTTAACAGGTCGTTACTCCTACACTTCGTTTACCGGTACGAGGCTGCCACTGGAGAACCTTTCTTCCCTATCGAATGTCGCTACTTTGAGCAATATGGTCGACCCATTGTCACTTCAGCTTACTGGCTAGTAGGATTTTGATAGGCTGTGATGAATAAATGGATGAAAAACTGTTGTAACAAACTATTCCACTTCTGATGTTAGAAATTATCGTCAAAAGTATTTAAATAAAAGAACACTACTCGGTAACAAAGCCTGCTTACTATCAGGACCCAATTACATGATAACACCAAAGTATGCAAGCCAACAGCATCACTACCCATCTCAATGTAACACAGGGCAGCCTCTCAGCAACACGACCTCCCTTGTCTACACTAGTAGAATACCTTAATCAGGCATAGTAACGACAGTGAGACTCTTAGAATTACCGACTGATGCCTCTTAGTCGCCTGTGCGATACTTTATACTGCTAAAGCAAGTGGGAGATTATCATTCTACCTTCATTTGTTCGTATTTCCTTTTATATTTTTTTTACTCTCATTCCCAACACTATTGTAATGTCGCGCGGCATTTAAAATGATAATTTATTTTTATATAATCATCATGGTCTGTCAAAGTCCCCTGCTCAAAATAGGCCTTCCCTTCATTGGAGGTACCTATATTTGCTATATTTGCCGCGCTCGACAAGGCAACCGGCAACTGCAGTTTTTTTTAAAATTATTTTTATGTTGTTATCAGGATCTCACCCACGTCCTGTTTCAGTTTCTCAGGCAAATCATACTGTCGCATACGTAATAATTCTATGGTTGCAACTTATCGCAGAGTTACAAGTATTTACACGTGAGAGTTATATATATATCGCGAAGACTATGGGAAATTAGTTTAGAGTGTTGTTGCAAGTGGAAACGCGGCCTTTGAATTTATTTGCCATATCTTCTCATATATATTACCCATTATAAAATAATTAAAGAGACTTGCAATAACTTAAAATAATAAATAAAACTTTTAATTTTTAATCTTCAAAATAATAGTAATAATAATGGCAACACCTAATGTTACGGGCCGACTCATCCCATAAGATAATATCTAACGCATTCTATAAAGACAAGAGTTGCTCATCAGTAATTAATTGCTATGAATTCCTTTTTTTAAATCGAGTGTTTTTGCGAGATATACGAAGCAAGATCTGTCGATGTGCACATTGTTTGTTTTTGGTTAGACGCGTTCAATTGCACTCGTAACTGCTCGCAGGAAACGCTTGACAAACCGTCGCTGGTAAGCTTACAACATACACACATAAAAAAAGATTGCGATCAGTTTGAAAAATCGAAATCTTTTTTGTTACGGTAGACTATATTATAATTTCTTCTTTTTTTTAGATTCTTTACTTAAATATATAGAGTTAGAATATAAAACAATAAAACAAAGTCAATTGTTTTTCCATATTAAAAGAAATTCAATCCAAGCTTACACTCATTCAAAAATCTGACTTAGTCAATTTTAACGGATTTAAAATGTTTTTTCGAGGAAAGTTGTGATTTAAAAAATTCCAAGAGGAAGTTTTATGAGCAAGAAACTTTGAGGGAAGAAGGATATTCTACGAGAGAAATGGCACGCAAGGTCTTGTGTTGTGGTCACGTTGCAGATGTACTATAAATAATTTAGCTGGTCCACCCTTCAGTGGTCGCTCAATTTTTTCTAACTGTTGCTCAGAAGTGCTATATCTGATTACTGGCAGTCCGTGACCCAACAATTAACGCCGCTTCAAAAAAAGTGGTAGTGAGGACTGGCCTCTGGACTTGAAGTTAGCACTCAGACCATTCGGAATTGCTTACACCCAGGCTGGACTGTGAGCACGGAGGTCTTGACAACGTCAGTGACGGAGATTGCAGTGGGAGGAAAACATTTGGCCAAACTATCTCTTCGTTGACGAATCGCGAATCAGCACTCATCCAGATAATCGCCGTTTCCGTGTCTGGAGAAGACCTGGATACTAAAAGGTAAGGAACTGCCACTAGGACCGTTCAGCGAGGCGAGAAATCGGTGTCCTTTTGGGGTGGAGTTATGATTGGAGCTAGAATGCCTTTGATCCCGTATCGATGCTTCAAGACGGCAGATAGGTACAAAACAGTCGCTATTGATGGAATTGTCAGACCATTCCGAGTAAACCATGGGCACCAATTCGTACTAGTCGATGATAATGCGCCCACACATCGACCTCAACGAGTCAATGCTGCTCTCCGAGAATACGACATCACAAGGTTAGACTGGCCTGCCGGCTCGCCAGACTTAAACCCAATAATAGACGCATGGGATGCTCTTAAGCGAGCTGTTCGGAACCGTCAGCCGCCAGACAGTGCCAGAGTTCAGGGAAGCCGCTACTCAAAATAGGACAGGTGACCGCAAAAAATGTTGGATAACTTGATCCTCTGCATGCCCAGAAAGATCTCGGCATGTGTTCGAGCCAGGGGTGGAGTTATATTGTATTGAATAAAAACCTTCTATTAATAAATTGTTGTATAAGTTTGGTTAAACAATATTTTTCTCTGTTACAATTACATTAGGATTTAATTACTCAATTTTTGTTATAAAAAAGAGTTTTATTTTTTAATTTCAAACAGTGTATTTCTATTAAAAAAAAAGATATAACGTAAGTAAACACTTTTCTGCCAACTTCCAAAAAGGAGACGGTACTCAATTCGACTGTATGTTTTTTATTCCTTTTTTTTTAAAATGTGTGTTATAACTTTTTACTGGTTGAACCGATTTCGATGATTCTTTTTTTATTTGAAAGCTGGTACTTCTCGTGTGGTCCCATATGAATTTGATCAAGGTCTAAACCGTAGTTTTTGAGTTATTCTTAATAACTTATATTGAAGTCGGCTGAATAAAATTTTTAATTTTAAATTATATTTATTCTTGATAAAGTTCAATTTTAAAAATACATCAGCTTGCTTGTGATCACAAACTTTTTTTGATGTCTAGTTTATATCTGCAAGCTACTGTCTGACAGACTGTCGGATACTTCTTGCAGAAGTTTTCTTGCAGGTGGAAACGCAGCCTTACAACACCCACGATATGATATAGGGGTAGTTTACTCTCTTACGTCGCCACTACATGCCGATAGCATGATGGTAAGTGGTTGCTGCGGCCCATAAACACCTACATCTATCCTCTATTACAAATGCAGATGCGTTGTCACCCGTGAGGACTAAGATGTAATGCCTCATTTCCAGTAAAAAGGGTCTCCGGTTCTCTACACTCACCATACGAAACACGGCAGCGTTGAGCTGCTATTTTACGCTGGTATTCTGCGAGAGCGTGGTCCTTCCCCGGTCGAGCCGACCCATTCGTGCTACAACTATACTACTAATATAGCTGCAGCAAGGCTCTACCACGTACGCACATAACCACGTACATAATCTTTATCTTTACGATAAAATCAGTGATTTTTTCTTCATCGAGATATCAAAGTGCTATTTCGCTGATAATTATTATCAGCGAATTGATTTGTTATCGTGAGAAATTTACATATTAAGTCTCCCTTGTAGTACGGCGTGTAGGTATGAAAACGATTCCTCGTTCCGCATTGTCGAGCAAATTAATACTACAGCGGGAATTTTTTTTTGAAAAAACGAACGTAAGTCACGCGCGTATGTTTTTTTTAAATAAGATTTTTGGCT